GCAAACCTCGGTGAAGACGGATCTCAAGAAAGCTTGAGAAATTAATGATAAAAATGATCAGAAATTATAAATTTTCCAGTGTGTGGTTACCGTAATAATTCAATTTAGCTGCCAGAGCGCTAATTTACTTCTAGTAACTCAAGGGGAGGGGCGCTTATTGGAGAGGGGAGCTTATTAAGGAAGGGGCGCTACTTTCTTTTTGAACATATACATCTGAATGTGATCAATTGTTTAAATGAAAAGCATTGTGCCAACAGATACTTTAACTCAAGAAACATAACAATAGGGGCTCTGATAGTCGTAATGCTCATTACTACTTTCAGATGTGAGAGCAAACTTCATAATTCGTTCACCTAATAAGCCTTTTTTATGTCACTGTCTTGGGTGTCATTCACAATAGGAGCGCTGAGGATTGGAAGGTGGTGCTCATACGTGGCGCTTAATTATTGGAAGGGGCGGGCTAAACTGAATCATAACTGAACCGTACTTTCGATTTCAAGGTGATTTTTTTACACTAATAATGAGCCTTGGCTCAAGAAAATCTGATGCCCTGACCTCGCTCTACAAGCAAATAATACATGCCATGGATGGAGTCGAATTTGATTGAATACTGACCAATAAATGAAGTAATAACCTCTTACCTTTGGATGATTTTGATTTGGAAAATTTCCGTGCATTTGCCTTCGCACTCTCGGACCTTCCTTCCCTCCATCCCGTCAGCAAAGGATGGTTGATATCAACCCTGCAATCATCAGATATTAAATAACCACAAAAATAAAGCTTTGAGATATTTTATAAAAATAGTTTTAGTTAACATTAAAGTTTTAGACCCGCGAATTTTCAGTTCTGAATAGACACATTACAAACTTAGAGTTGTCGCTCACGTTTGTGCAAGTTGTCCCTTCACCCATAGTTAATAGAGGGAAATAGTTAAAAAGGCCTGTAAACATCCAAAAAATAAACAAACAGACTAAAATTTATGTTGGCAGGTCCCTGACCCTGCACATCTTTTGTTTTATGCTCATGGTCATAGAGTGTACATGAATTACAATCGCAATGCTTCTATTGGTTAGTTGATCCTCAATTTTCTTTGCAAATGTGCATTAAGTGTCAAGAGTAAATAAAGCGTTGTTGTTCTTGTTCTTGTTGTACGAGCACACATAAACACCTTTTGCATTTTGCCAGGTTTTGTGCAAGGTCAACCACCAAAATAGTCAACAAAAACATACAACAAAGAACTTTGCCAGGTTTCCTAACCATTTCCCTCTATTAATATTACTATCCTCCACCGCTATTATCTTTGTCTTTGACTTTGGCCAAGGTATAAAAGTGTCACGAGATATCAAGAAACACGCCTGCTCGAGTCAACTTTCGCATTCATTACGGAATCACAATAACGAAAAAATAGTTTTAACAACTTCTGAATGACTGAGTACAGTTTTTCTTCTGAGTTTGTCTTTTCTCTCGTCGTCTGTTTACTTGCCAAGCGGATCTTTTTCTGTAATAAAGGTATCAAAGCTGATTTTTCTCACCTAAACTCGGTATCCTCCACTTCTTGTAAATATGATTCCAAATCTTGAAATGGTCTGGTGAGTTTTTTGCCAAGTGGATGGCCAGAGAGATCCTGAAAGTAACATGAGAAAAACAAGGAATACTATTAACATTTAGAACAAGCAACACGTAAACGCAGTTTTAAGAAAAACTTCACGACTTATATCCATCGATACAAAAGTTGAAACACCTGACAAATGTGTGAGACAATTTCAATGATATACAGTGGCCTTCAACTTGTTTC